AAAAACAAACAAGACAACAAACGACAAATGGTTTGGAACAAATAGAATAGTCAACTCAGAAACTGAAGTTGGCCAGGTACAGTGGGCTTCACGCCTGTTAATCCCAGCACTTTGGAGCCGGAGGCAGGTGGATCACGCTGAGGTAGGAGTTGAGACGCATCCTGGTAACAGCACTGTCTCTACTAAAAATACAAAAATGCTGGGCATGTTGGGGGCACCGTGTAATCCAGCTACTCCTTGGGCTGAGGCAGGTAGATTCACTTGAACCTGGGTGTAGGGCGGAGGTTGCAGTGAGGTGAGATCGCGCCCCACTGCACTCCAGCCTGTGGGCGACAGATGAGACTCTGTCTGCACCAGGATAGTCTCGATCTCCTGACCTCGTGATCCACCCGCCTCGGCCTCCCAAAGTGCTGGGATTACAGGCTTGAGCCACCGCGCCCGGCCGAATTTCTGTTGTTTTAAGCCACTCAATTTGTAGTAACTTGTTATGGCAGCCATAGGGAACAGTCCGGGGATCTCGTCACTCCAGATGGCAAGTTGCACATCACAGAGTGTGGCCGTCATGTCGGAAGGAGCCGGGAGTTAGCCTGGAAGACCCTCACCCGTCCCCGCCAAGGATGGAACAACTGAGCCCTAGGAAGGATCCCTCGAGGAACAGAGCTGTTAAATATGGTGAGATCTGTTGTTCTTCCTACAAACAGAAGCTGACTGCCCCGAAGGATGCCAGGGAACCAGCTCTGAGGCACGCTGGTAAATTAAGGGAAGAGGCCAGGCACGGTGGCTCATGCTTGTCATCCTAGCACTTTGGGAGGCCTGGGCAGATCACTTGGGGTCAGGAATTTGAGACCAGCCTGGCCAACATGGCGAAACCGCATCTCTACTAAAAACATAACAAATTACCCAGGCGTGTTGGCAGGTGCCTGTAATCCCCACTACTCGGGAGGGTGAGGCAGGAGAATCGCTTGAACCCAGGAGGTGGAGCCGAGATCGTGCCACCATATTTCAGCCCTGGGTGACAAAGCGAGACCCTGTCTCCAAAAAAAAAAAAAAAAATTAAGGGGGCCAGGCACAGTGGCTCATGCCTGTAAACCCCATAAAACCCCAATCAAAAAAAAAAAAAAAAAAAAAAACAAACCTGTCAGAAAGCTTCAAAGTTCACAGTGGTGGACACAGGTTTACCTAAATCCTGATGTTTGCTCGAAAGTTCAATTTTATCATTTACAGGAAACGCTCTCATTGTTTTCCTTGGTGGGACAGGGTGACCCGCCCACCTCAGCCTCCCAAAGTGCTGGGATTACAGGTGTGAGTCACCGCACCTGGCCGGTTAAATTTATTTCTAAATGTTTGAAGTTTTTGTAGCTGTTGTAACTGTGATTGTTTTCTTGATTTTTCGGATTGTTGTTACTGTATAGAAACACTACTGATTTTTGTATGTTGATTTTGTATGCTGCAACTTTACAGAATCTATTAACTAGTTTTAACATTTTTTGGTGGAATTTCTGTTCGGCGCATCTGTTAATCCCAGCTACTCAGGGATGAGGCGGAAGCAAGAGAATCGCGCTGAACCTGGGAGGCGGAGGTTGCAGTGAGGGGAGATCGCAGACACTGCCACGTCCAGCCTGGGACAGAGTTGACGAACTGTTGCTCAAAAGAAAAAATAAAATTAACTTCGAATAATAATTAAGCTCAAGGACTGTAGAACATCGAAGCTTCTTTGCTAT